TGGTGCGTTCCTATGGTCTGTCTCCAGCATGTTGTCGAAGTCACGCATCAGGTTGGTGGCTTTGGCTGCGCAAGACGCTAAAGAAAAAACGGGCTGCGGCACGAAAACAGACGCCGTCGGACGCAATTTACTTGCTCGCACACAAGGAGCTACCACCGCAACGGTGTCCGGAACCTGCGGCCGTGGAATGAATGCTCGATTGGCGACGTCAAGCAGCAGGTCGCTTCCCGGCCCGTCAAAGAAATCTCGACCGATCAATGGGTGAATAATGTTGCTTTTCTTAGCCTTAATAATATACTTTTTTCCCAATATAGAAATATTAATTTTCGTTTCCCCGGAAAAGGTGATGGGTGAGCCTCTAGCTGATACCAGCCCTGACGGATAACCTTTCGCGCCGGAAAGGTCGGGCACCATCGTATATGGGGACGCGGTGTCTACCAGAAAGCTGCCTACCAAGAACGGAGGCGAAAGGGACAAGGAGTTCAACACTGTTGGGGCGGAGTCGTCACAAACGGAAGCGCTGACTACTCCTGCGTCAGCGTTCCCTTCTCGTTTTCCGGAACTGACACGAACTTGACAAAACGCAGACCTTCTCGCCACTGAGAGCATTTTCTCTTCGTGCAGGAGTGGGCGTCGTCGCCGTACATACGATGAAACATACAAACCGAAGGCTTCTTTGCTGAAGATGCCGTCGGCGCCGACTTCTTTGAAAAATCGGACCCGGCCCTTTTCTTGCTAAAAGTGGCCGCCACGACGTTTGCTTGCGACGATGAAGCCGAATGTCGTGCGGAGATTAATAATTTGTCGCATCGTTTTTGAAAATCTTCTGCGTCTACGCCATCAAAATGCTCTGCTAAATGCGCTTTGATTGACTGCGGCATGTTCTTATACATGATAAATTTTTCCAGATCTGCCGTGGAGATGTCCTTGAGCAATGGTCTGACACGTGCCAGGATGTCCGCTGCATTTTCATCTGCACCGAGGGATTCTTGGTAAAAAACTCGGTGGATGCGTTGTTCCCTGGACAGTGCGTACTGGTCCAGTAGCAGCGCCTTGGCCTTGTCATACGGCTTGTCCGACGGCTCCTGGAGGATTGGATTGATGCGGACTGAATGGCGTTTTTCTAAGAAACGAATGAGGTGAGCAAACCTATGATGTTGGTCCACGACCTTGGCTGCTAAAAACTGAATTTCCAATTGGCTAAACCATATATCAGGATTTTCCTCATCAAACGTGGACAACTCTATTTTAGGCGTTTTTTTATTTGAACCTTCATCCGATTTTTCCTTAGAGGGAGGGACTTTCGTATATGCCAAGCTATGGAGCTCGGCGATCAGGCAATCAGCTTGCGAAAGAACGTTGTTGCATTCATCTTGGACCGTTTGAAGTCGACCCACAGCTTCGCCCGTGGACGGGGATGCGTCCATCAAATTGCACAACGCTGTGGTGGTGGACTCCAACAACGTCTCGAGCCTTTGGGAATCGAACTCGGCATTAACTTCAGTGTAGGTCGCGTCCTCGGGCGCACGCTTCCTCCCTATCGTCTCCATGTAAGAAGACAACCTTTTCAACGCAGAATCATACCTTGCCTTTACGCTAGGTGCGGCGGAATCGGACGGCATTTTGGCTATGAGGAGCTACGAGGC